CCTGACCTCAAGTGATCCGCCCGCCTTGGCCTCCCAAACTGCTGGGATTACAGGTGTGAGCCACCACACCCAGCCAGAAATGTACTTTTAAAATATTGGCTGGGCGTCGATATTTATGGCACCTACCTGTAATCTCTGCACTTGGGAGGCCAAGGTGGGAGGACCGCTTGAGCCCAGGGATTCTAGATTAGCCTGGGAAACACAGGGATACACCATCTCTACAAAACAAAAAAAATTAGCCGGGTGTGGTGGTTCATGTGTATAGATCTAGCTACTCAGGAGACTGAGGCAGGAGAATCAATTGAGCCCAAGAGTTTGAAGCTGCAGCGAGCTATGATCATGCTGCTACACTCAAGCCTGGGCAATAAAGACCCTCTCTCAAAACAAACAAACAAAAAATTAAATCAATAAAATTTAAAAAATACTAAGAGGTTCACAGAATCCAGAAGGAAAGACAGGCACAGAGAAGCTGAGTATTCAGAAATAATCCTCCAACTACCTAGAGACCCTTTTCCAGCAAAGCCACTACTGCGGCTACCTCAGCACAAATTCTGCAGCGGCCTCGACCCACCACCCTTTAACAATTGTGGAGATTGGACTTCAGAGCATTTCTCCTGGTGCTTTCAAGGCCAGAGACTCCCTTTAGTCCCCTTCCCTAGGATGCTCTCTTCCTCAGTTGCTTTCCTCCAAATCAGAATCTCACGTGATGCCAAGCGCAGTGGTTCACACAGATAAACCCAGCACTTTGGGAGGCCAAGGCGGGCAGATCACCTGAGGTCAGGAGTTCGAGGCCAGCCTGGCCAACATGGTGAAACCCCATCTCTACTAAAAATACAAAAATTAGCTGGGCATGGTGGTGCACACCTGTCATCCCAGCTACTTGGGAGGCTGAGGCAGGAGAATTGCTTGAACCTGAGAAGTGGAGGTTGCAGGGAGCTGAGACTGTGCCACTGCACTCCAGCCTGGGTGACAGAGTGAGACTCCATCTCAAAAAGAAAAGAAAACAAAGTCTCATGTTTTTGCATCTGATTGGTGGAACTTAGGTCACCTGCTTACATGTTAGTTGCAAGAACATCTGGGAAAGTCATGCTTACATGATAGTTGCAGGGACATCTGGGAAATTTCTGGCCTTTACTTTGGGGAAGTGGGATTTATGATGTGGGAAAAACCCAAAATGGGGAAGTTGATCAAAAAATGCTGGTGAACATAGGCACGACAAATGTTCTCTACATAAGGTTTAGGATTTTTTTTCTCTCTTTTTTTTTTTTTTTTTTTTTTTTTTTTTTTTTTTTTTTTTTTTTTTTTTTTTTTTTTTTTTTTTTTTTTTTTTTTTTTTTTTTTTTTGAGATAGGGTCTCACTCTGTCACCCAGGCTGGAGTGCAGTAGCACATCTTGGCTCACCACAACCTCCGCCTCTCAGGCTCAAGCGATTCTCCTGCCTCAGCCTCCCAAATAGCTGAGATTACAGGTACCCACCATCACACCCAGCTAATTTATGCATTTTTACTAGAGAAGGGGTTTTGCTATGTGGGCCAGGCTAGTCTCAAACCCCTGACCTCAAATGATCCATCTGCCTTGGCCTCTCAAAGTGCTGGGATTACAGCCATGAGCTACTGCGCCCAGCTCGGGTTTTTTTCTCATAAATATAGAATAATACTAATTTAATCATTCTCTGAACCTCCAGTGCCTACCTCAGTGCCTGGCAGACAGCAGGAACTCAATACACTAGAAAGGAAAGGAAGAGGGAAGAGAGATTGCACATTACATGCTGCCTTACCTAGCCCGGTTGAATGAAGACTTGCTGTGTGGGTACATAGGACTCCCAAGGCCCCTTAGGAATTTGAAGGAAGGGGACTCCCTCGAACATACATCCTTAAGTCAAACCTCTAAGTGCTAGCGTGCAGCATCCAGACCTCATGAAACGCTCAGTGTATCCTGAGTAGTCATCTGCTTTCTCTGTAGCCCACCTGTTGGCTTGCTGTCACTCAGGCCATCACTGAATCTCCTCCCCTCCCTCGTCCCAGAAGAGGTTTTACTAGTCTCTGAAGGCCAATCTAAAACAGTTGTTGCAAAGGCAACACCAAAGGCCTCCCAGGGTGATGACTATGTTGACATAAATCACTGGCACCTAAATTCGAGCAGGTCTGTGTAACTCTGTCTTGTTCTTCACGGTCAAGGTTGGCCATGACAAAAACACGGGTCCTGCCTCTTAAAGTTTATATTGTAGTTTAATTGGTAAGCGCACACACACTTAAATGACGAGGCAACTCTCTTGGTGCCGAATGAAGCAGGACAAAGTAAATGGTCCCAGGTTTAGGGAAGATCAGGGTGGCATGGCTGAGCTGATGAGCAAAGGTGCTGGAAAGATGGGGTGCGTACGGGATGAAGGAGCTGGAGTACTGACTTAGGAGCTGTGGTAAACCTGCGTTCTTCCCTAACCCTTTCAAACCGGGTCAGATCCGGGTAGCATCGCTGCGGTACCCTTCACATCAAGGCTGGATTTCATTTTGGTGACTATCTGATCCGGTGTTCTGCCTCCTCCATTTTAGAAAGAGCTTGCCATTGTGCCCCAAGACAGCGGTGGGTGGGCAGAGGCCGGTGAGGACCAGGTCAGGGCGAGGCTGCAGGGAGGGAGAGGCTGAGCCGATCACAAAGGCGGTCTGCCGCTTTCCTCCTCCCGCACCCTCAGGGAGGAGCAGCTGATGCTTCAGGAGTGTTCCAATCCAATTAGTGCCCTCCCTCCCCTCCACGGTGGCCCCCGCCACCACTCCCTTCCCCGAGGTGGAGACTGGGTGGGGAGGGGGTGCTGAGGAGGTCTGAACATCCTGACCCAGCTCCTCGTGGCGGCACAGCTGGCTCGCTGCTACTGAGAGGCTGCTATGACAGCGCCCGTTTCCAGGCGACTGTTCTGGGGAATGCTCTGTTTTGGCAACCAGAGGGCCCCCGGGTAAGGGGGGCCCGCAGGACGCCGCGTCATTTGCATGGCAACCTCCTCCCTCCCCGAGCTGCGCGCTGCTCTGCGGCAGGCGGGCAGCCTGGCCCGGCCGCTCCGGCCCCTCGCCCTCCGCCCAGGCCAGCCCTGCGGCTCCGGCGCGGCGCTGTCACCGCCTTCTCCACACCGGGAGGCGGAGGCTGCACGCAGAGCTAGGGCATTTCCGGAAAGGCTGGTGCCCTAGGGAAGTGGGGAAATGATGCTTGGGGACAAAACACTGAAATGGGGGAGGGGAAATGAAATAAAATCTTTTCCAAGCCAGAGTCAAAGTCACATGGCTTGGTAGCTTCAAATGCATTCCGGATAACAGGGTTGGCTCACAAAATGTTTGTTTAGGTGGACCCACAGCTAAGCCCTAGGAAATACTCAGAAAATGTCTTTTGGATCATTACATGGCATGTGTGTGTGAATTTGGGAATGGGAAAAAAATATTTTTTACCTAGGGAAATAAGGCAGTGATATTCTTAGGAAATATTTTCAAATATTTGCAGGGGAACTTGGTGACAGTGTATTTTCTGAATTTGTTGGAAGAAACCGAAAGAGAAAATAAACTCCTGGGAGTCTCCCTCCTCTCCGGCATATACCCACCCCACCCAAACCACACATACCAGCATGAGTCCATGATGCCAACTGGGATACCAGGGCTGTGACATGTGGACCGACATTAACTGCCCAAGGACACTGCCCTGGGCTGGAACCCGAGAGGGGGTTGGGCAGGGGCAGGTCACCCCAGCTGAGCGATCACATTTCCCTGGCAGCTGTCCAAGGGGCAGCTCCCAGCTGCACCTGTTTGTGGGGTGATTTGCTTTTATCAGTATTGACACAGCAGCAGGGCCAGGGAATAGCATAGCAATAAATAAATGAGAGAGAAAAAAAATTTTAAAAGGCCGGAGCCACCGAAGCGAGGCAAAAAATGCTGAGGTCTTTTTTTGCTGGTATGTCAGCGCATTCAATCCAGTTTCCCCACCCCTGAAATCTCTGAGGATCACAGAGCAGGCTTGGCATGGGAGCTGTGGGTCTTAAAGAGATAGAATTGCCGAATCAGAAGCACCTTAAGATCCTTTGTGCCAGGTTTCCCTAACCAGCAGATCTCAAGGTCACTTGCTACCCTCACCTGCCACTACTGTTTGTCAAGAACCTAAGCAGGAAGGGGAGTTTCTTCCTCTTCTGCCAAGTTTAGTATCAGGGAAGTAGAATGACTGAGGCGGAAGGTTTGGAGTTAGTCAAACCTAGGATCAAATCCTGGCTCCGTCTAGCTGTGTGATTTGGGGTATATTAACTAACTACTCTGAGCTTCAATTCCTCTTCAGAAAAATGGAGAAAATATCTATTCTTTTGTTTTGTTTTGTTTTTTTGAGACAGAGTGTCGCTCTGTCGCCCAGGCTGGAGTGCAGTGGCTTGATATCAGCTCACTGCAACCTCTGCCTCCTGAGTTCAAGCAATCCTTCTGCATCAGCCTCCTGAGTAGCTGGGATTACAGCGTCTCCCACCCCACCTGGCTAATTTTTTGTATTTTTAGTAGAAATGGGGTTTCACTATGTTGGCCAGGCTGGTCTCAAACTCCTGACCTCAGGTGATCCACCCACCTTGGCCTCCCAAAGTGCTGTGATTACAGGCATGAGCCACCATGCCTGGCCGAAAATGTCTATTTCTGTGGGAATACAAGAGCTGAAACAGGCAAAGCCTCAGGGTAACTCCTCAGTAGATGTCCATTTGGCTGCTATCACTACCCATCAACATCCCTTGGCTTGCTTTCTTTTCTTTTGTTTTGTTTTTTTGAGATGGAGCCGGGCGCGGTGGCTCAAGCCTGTAATCCCAGCACTTTGGGAGGCCGAGGCGGGTGGATCACGAGGTCAAGAGATCGAGACCATCCTGGTCAACATGGTGAAACCCCGTCTCTACTAAA